AATGAGAGGCTTAATAACAGCCAATTTGAAGGTTTTGGGGACATATCCTAATGAAACTGACAAAATATTCATATTAATATTCAGAAGAGGATCTATGACTTCTGGAAGCACCTCTTTTAGTAGCTCAGATGGAATAGGGTCTAACATACATGTTGTAGATTTTGATGATTTGACAAGTTTATACAATTCTTCCTGTCCTATAGCAGAGAATGAGTGGAATTGTTCCTCAGGGGAACTATAGTGCACTGTCTGATGCGATACTGTGGCTGACAGCAACATGGTTAGGATTTTTATCTCTAATTGTATCTATCTTGGAAGTAAAGAAGTTCATAAAGTCATTACTGCTGTGCTGTTGAGAAAAGTCTATCTGTTGATGCTTTATTTTTCATCAAGTTAGCCACTGTATTGAATAAATGCCTGGGGTTGTATTTGTTTTCTTCTAAGAGAGACAAAAAGTAAGTAGATCTAGCCGTTTTTAGGGCTTTTCTATAAGTAGAAGTACTTTCCCGCCATGCAATACGAAATACTTCTAGTTTTATTTTCTTCCAGCTGCGCTCCATTCTCTGGGCTGCTCTCTTTAAAGGGTCATGAAACCCCAAAACACATTTTTTGAGAGGGGACCAGATATGTACTGGTGTATCACTGAAAAGACTAAAAGCACTTTTAAATGTTATAGATAAGTAGAAATTGGTTATTTTTGCGTTTATCCGAGCAATTTTGTTCTTCTGGTTTGAAAAGCAAAGTCGAAGCTATGGCACAAAATCTGACGTAGATTTGGGCCTCAGAGTGTGTAGATAGGCTTTCAGGGGCGAATCTACATCAGCTGGCCCTGAGCTAATCTGTGCATTTATTCATGAGAAAGAGGTCGTTCAATCCAATCACTGCACCGTAGTGCGTATAAATTATAACGGTTACAATATAACATGAATATTATTCATGAGAAAGTATCGCTTCTGTCTTCCCTCATTGTTGGCATTAAGAGACATGGTTCGGCGTCGAATGTGCTCGTTTCTTCGGTGCGACAACATAAAAGTGTTGTTTGTGTTTCCCTGCGACACGACGAGAGCTGAACTTTGGGTGCAGGCGGTTGGTTTGCCGTGTTCTACCAACACAACTGGAAAATATGTTTGTAGCAAACATTTTGCAACGGAGAACTTTATGAATTGCGGACTAATGGAATCCGGTGTAAGGTCTGATTACTTTTCTTAGGGAATTAATTATTATTAATTCATTCAGGTTTTGAGAGGACTCGAATCTGAAAATTCGAAGTCAACCTGATTAGAACTGATTTCAAATTTTAATAGTTTACACCTTATCAACGGTCGTCCGTTATCTAGTATTGGGTTACTCTAGTTTCGATTACTCTAACTGTCAGAGGTTCGACGAGGCGTATAGGCGTAATCTCAATCAGGTTTGTTGAGTTCTCAGGTTCAGGTTCAGGTTCTTGGTCAGTTTTATCAAGCCGGAACGGGACGCCGGACGTGCACTTGTTGAAAGACTCTTGGACGGCGGTGACTCGCTTTTGGGGGAGGAAGGCAAGTGTCAGAGTCACAACATATCCTACAATAGTAGAAATGCAAAGCGCTGTGTCAGCGGCAGACCAAGACCGAATGACTGGCGCGCCAGCGGGCGGAAGGCTAGCGATAGCTTCTAAAGGTGTATCAACAGGAGTCAAATCAGTAAGTTGCGTTCCTTCCTCCTTGATCCTTCTTCCAATTCTGGATCGAGGACGAAGAAATGCTGTTTGAAGAAGGGTGAGATTTCGAGTTCGGCCTGATACTCGTCGTCGGTAAGGTGATACAATGCTAAATCGTCAATATGGAGGATCGAACCCTTAGGGAGTGTGCTACACACAGTCGATGGTTATATACAGTTTAAGTACATCGCAGGAGGTGTCAGCGCACCTCACACTACACAACCAAAAAGCACTATAGATTCTTATCTTTCCTTATTAGCGCTGAACAATCTCAACTCGTTCGAGCGAGGTAAATTAATGTACAGCTTTACTGCAATAAATACAATAACTGTCAATGATATCTTGGCGGATATCAGCACATATTTATACAGACAAAACACCCGTGGATTTAACCACAATTTCACTTGATCAAGATTTCACAATTCTCCCATAACAAAAATAACGTTCGGACACTCTCTCTGAGCGCCGCGTTTCAAGTTCACTAGTTTTTTAGTGCATTAAATGGCAGAGGACTATCAGTTAGCTAATCTGATTTTCTCAAACCGGGGAGATGAATAGCAGAGTTGCATTTGGAAGTGGAACACGCACTATACAAATCAAGCTCTGAAGGTCCTTCTACAGAAAGTAAACGAGGGACACGCTCGTTTCTTTCTTGTGCGCTCTAAGGCGACTTATTTTGTCTCGGTGGACAAAATTAAAATGTTTTACTGCAGTTCAATTCTTTAAACAACAACTCGAGTTGCACATTCAAACATTCAACACGCTGGTATGCTCTAATAACAGGTACAATAGCTCACAAACTCCGTTTCTCTATATCTAATCAATTTTTCGGGATAAAAATAGGAAAGATTCACAATAATATCTTGGTGTCATTAATTTTTAAGTCGAATTTGCCAGCTTTTTTCTCCACCACATGTAAGGTCTGATTACTTTTCTTAGGGAATTAATTATTATTAATTCATTCAGGTTTTGAGAGGACTCGAATCTGAAAATTCGAAGTCAACCTGATTAGAACTGATTTCAAATTTTAATAGTTTACACCTTATCAACGGTCGTCCAGCGAGACGTTAATGTCCGTGTATCTTAACAATCTGACTGTGTATTTTCCTTGGCCACAGGTCAATACAATTATGATAATTTGTAAGCTCCTAGCGAGGTAACGTGATCTTGGCAAGGTTTGACTTTAAAATTATACGACACCAGACAATGATTCTTTATAAATGAAACACAAATTTATTGGCTATTCTAGATTACATTAAACTAAGCTAAAACACACACATACACACACATACAGTTCTGAAGAATGATGTTAACGGAGTTCTGAGGAAAGCCCAAAGTTTTAGCAAGATATTCGCTACAGTTCTCTTACTGGCAACCTGAGAAAATCACAAGCAGAGGTTTGTCTTACGTTTACTGCTTAAATGGTTCAGCACCTATTTCAGCGGATATCCCCCTAAGGGATAAGGACCAGGCCTTGACCGGAAGCAGGTCCAGACAATTAGGTGCCCTGTTGATCATTGATCTTCTTTACGACCGCAGATAGCTGGGGAGGAGAGTCTTTAGTTTTTCCGGTGGAATGCGGAGATTCAATCGTTCATTTGTGCGATATTCGCAGAGGCCTTACACCGGTTTTGCCGATCATCTTGTTTTAAAGAAAGAAACTGTACCAATTCCCATATCCACAGATTTGGTAAGTGTTTGCTTAAATATTCTTTATTTTGCGTAGACTATTCAGATGGTTATGTTAGATTTTATTGGAGCAGACATAGTCAATGTTAACAAGTTACTAAGTAGTTTTCAGTGCTCTGGTCTATTGTTATCATATTGTAAAAATGCGTGTGTTTTATAACAATTTTTAAACAGTTGTAAAAGAGTTACAGTTGTCTTCTGAGCCCAAGTTGTGTCGCGAGGTGGGGTGCCAGACAGAAGTATTCACAAAAGATGCGTCATGCCAAACAGATGTTGATTCGCCGATCACGCATGTATCCACACAGCACACATGGAAACCAGAGCGAAGAAGCAAGAGTAAGAATTGATTTTTCTTTTTTTTGTTCTTCCTCTAGTCATCATTTTGAAATTAAATACAATTGAAGAGAATTGAATTTTTTTTATAATTAGGCACTCAAATGAAACAGCATAGAAAACATGTTAGCTGCAGTACCGTCATGTCGAACACATCATTTGAGGAAGGCCCTCTAGCTGTTTCAACACCTGTAAAAAGGCCTAGAAGAGAAGCTACAGATGACATCACTTTTCATCCAGAAGTGACTAACCACAGCATCTATGATGAGAGGTGAGTAATTGAGTATGTGTACTTTTTGATTTGCCTGCTGCTAATATCATTAGCAATAAACATCTGGCACAGACATCAATTCATTTTCATGTTTTTGTGTTTGCTGTATTTTAGCACAGTGATTGAAACCCCACATTATAAAATGAGGAAGTTTGTTGTTTATGAAGAAAACTTAATTGAGCTCTTCAGGAAGTGCCCTGTCTGCACAAGGAGCTGTGTTGTACATGCTAGGACTGTGGGAACGCTTCTGTGCGTGGACCAGGTTTGCACACACGGTGAGCATCAGAACACTTGGACAAGTCAGCCATATGTCGCAAACATACCTGCAGGATTTATCCAGCTGTCTGCAGCTGTAATTTTTAGTGGAGCCTCCTTCTTGCAAGTGGAAAAGGCAAGGCACTTTTTCTTTACACACCTATGAAACCTCTCTGCCAGTTGTAGTATGACTAACTTTCCTCTTTCTTTGTGTCTAGTTCTTGCAGGCATATAATATCACAGGAATTAGTCACACAACCTTCCTGAAACACCAACGGAATTTACTTTTCCCCACAATAAACTGGCTGTGGACTGTACACCAAGGTACAGTTTTTTCAGAGGCCATCAAAGTTAAACAACCAAAAATATTAATTTTCTGATGATAAATTATTCAGGGCATTGTGCCAAATACCGGACCTACACAGTGATGGACCTAAAAACAAACCAGATAATGGACTTATTCAGGTATGTTTTTGTTTATGAATGTAAATTCAGTGCTAATATATACATGTAAGGTATTATTCTGATACATTATTTAAATTAATCACTACTTTGCAATAACATAACAATTTTATCTTTTTTTTATAGAGCAATGATGTCGGTAACAGCCAACGCATGGAAAAGGAGGTGTTGCAATGATGCCTGAGACAGCTGGAGCAGAGAGGGCTCCGTGTTCAAAAGATTGTCACGGATAGGCATCCTGCTGTCATGAAGTTCCTCAGGGACAGCAGACCGGGTGTTGTGCACAAATTCAATGCATGGCACATGGCAAAAGATTTGCTTTGTAATAGAACTTATGTTCCAGATATACGGGGTAGAAACTGTACTTAAACATTTTTATATGTATCTGCTATATACCTGTCAATCATTCTAACTGTTATTTTTGTTCTATGGATTGTTTAGGTGTTGCTAAAAAAATAGACTCCCTTGCAAAGCTGAAGAGTTGCAGAGAAGTTGGTTCTTGGAAAAAGAGCATTGTAAACCACCTTTACTGGTGTGGCGAAAGTTCATCTACAGGCAGTGAAATTGTAGCCAAATGGAAATCAGTTGCCAACCACATGCAGAACATACATGAGCATGACGGGGAATTTCAAAAATGCCTCCATCAACCGCTTGTGGGAGATCAAGCAAGAAAGTGACTCAAACCAAGTAATGACAACCATATAAACATATTGATATATTATCTGTTTTTGTATGTATAGCATTGTGCCTTTTTAATGATAACATGTGAAACAATTACATTTATATTCTGCTATTGCATTTATTTCCTTGATTTATCTTTAGCAATGTGTTCATATGTATTGACAGTCTTATTATCTCATTAGGTACAGCTGCATGTGAGCAGCTCAGTGGCGTAATCCTGGCTTCAAAACTGTTTAGGGATCTTGAGAATCTAAGTGGTGATTACCAGAATTCATCACTGGAGTCTTTTCACAGTTTGGTCATCCGGTTTTTGCCAAAGAGTGTGGTATTCTCCTATGTGGGAATGTTGTGCAGGTATGTTCTCATCTGCAATTGTTTCCTTGAACAAATTTATTGTATGAATTTTTGGCAGCTTCCTGGAGCAAATAACACTGAACATTGCTAAAGTGGGAGGTGATTTATAGTATGTAACAATATCATTTTTCACCTTAGATCACAACTGGCAGCCATGCACTACAATGAAAACAGTGCAAGAACACAAGCCACTACGTTTACCATGCATTACCATTTACCATGCATGGTATACACAATATACCTTAATGAGCCTTCATTAAGTTTGTTTTAAATGTAGCGTATTTGCATAAATATGTATTTGTTTTTGATACAAGACGTCTTATGAACTATATTTTTAGCTTAATGTACTATTTATTGATAGTTATGTACTACTTAATGTTAGCTTATGTACTAGTTACTGAATAGAATGGTGATATGGCCTCAGAGTTATATTCTTTATAGGTTGCTAAAATTTTTTGGATGAATTAATGTTAATTAGGTAGCGCTTTACAATAAGGTTTCATTTGTTAACTTAACTACTTTAGTTAACATGAATTAAGAATGAACAATACTTCTACACCACTTATTAATATAAATTAATGTTAATTTCAACATTTACTAATACATTTGTAAAATCAAAAGATGTGTTTATTAAAATTAGTTACTGAACTAACATCAACAAACAACGACTGTATTTTAATTAACTAATATTAAAGATTATTATATACTGTTACAAATGTTTTGTTTATTCTTATGTAGCCGGGTAAGGTATAGCCCAGGTATGATTGGCTGATGTCATGCCAGCCTGTGAACCTATCAGTGTCCTCGCCATTTTGTTCATCCCGTTGGTGCAGACGACTGCTCAATTTTATTGGTTTTCTTTTTTTGTTTGTTTTTCTTTGTACAAGTAGTTGTCGAACCTGTGTTTGTGGGCTCCTTTTTGGAGTAGATTGTTCTGTGGCGGTATGAAAGTGAGTTTTGTATTTTTGAATGTGTCTTGATGTTTGTACCAGTTAACCATGTTGTCATTTAGGAGTAGAACCTTTTAAAGCGGGGGTTGCAGTCTTTTAGCGTGTCCACATGGAGTGCGGTGCTTAACCAATTGTATTGCTTTCACAACTGTGTGGTGTGAGGTGAAAATCCAAAAGGCCCCCGCTGGCCATTTCTCTCCTAGTCATTTCTGTAACTGGTAGATTTGTGTATCTGATTTGATTAAGATTGTATATTAAAAAAAAACAGTGTTAAACGGTTTCATTTGTGTATAAATAAATGGCTTAATTTTTATACTTTGCCTATGTCTCCATGCTCACCCTGCCTTTGGCAACGAACCTGTGTGACCTTGTATAGGGTTGTTATGTCCCGGTATATTCCGGGTGGCGTAGTCGATTTGTATCCATTGTTGTTGGTAATTTCCCCTACCTGACCACTTATTGCCACACTTAGTTTGTTAGTTAATATATTAACTAATGTTAATTAATTAAACGTTTTGTAAAGTGTTACCATTCATAAATATAATAAATTACATTGAAAGCCCTGTAGCGTCTGGACCAATCAGAAACACCATTTTTCATTTGATTTATACAGCGGATCTAAATATTTATAATTAATTATAACTAGTTATGATTAATTATTCATATTTCCCCATGAGCTGATTCGCTACAGCCCTCATGCCAGTAAGTGGACAAATTATGTTTGTAAAATATTTATTTATTTTCTAAACGTGTTACAAGTAAGACAACACAATTAGTCCAAACAGTCAGTTTTACAAACCGTCAAAATGTTTTAAATTACTCAATGGGAGGGGGTAAGAAACCAGTGTAGTTTTCAATTTGGTCTGGGAACTGCTGTCTGATGCGTGTAACTGCACAGGAGGGTATCACCACTCTGATGTGTCTGCCCAGGTACCACCAGCACCATCTGACAAAATTTCTGTATGCCAGGTGTATGTAAGAACTGTGAAAGACATTTAAGTGAGTTTGTATTCATATACTGATTAGTAGTGTGCAGTGGCGGATTAATGTTTTACTCCCTTGTGTAAAAAGGATGTTTTCAGAAATGCAACAATGAGTTCATGGTCTTGTTTGCAATTACATATACAGTGCTTAACAAATTTATTAGGCCACCACCCAATAGGTTTGTGTCACAGCTGCCCTAAACTAAGTAGGTGATTACCAAAATTACTATTGTTATTTTTCTGTAATGGTTAATCCACCAGTATGTGTAAGATCTTTAGTCACAGTAGTGTTTCTAATGCTAAAATATAATTATTGTTGGGATTGAATGATTCTAAGATAGATTGCACAAAAGTTTAATTTAAAAGCAAGTCTTTGGGAACCACTAGAAACTATTTGGAAGTCATTAACAACAGAGACTGTGCAAAAGTGCATAAAAAATTATGCCAGCAAGAATGCAAGCTTTTATCAAGGCCAAAGGAGGCCATACAAAATAAAAATAAAATAGCCTATTTATATTTTTTGGTTTATTAGTTTTTGTTTATTATGTGTGAATAAAGACTATTTAGTTGTTTCAGTTTGTTATTTGCCCAATGATAACACCCTTTTTAGTTTTAAACAAGTTTTTGAGGGGTGGTCTAATAAATTTGTTAAGCACTGTATATAGCTACATATAGTTTTGTGAGGATTTGAACTGAAAATAAAACTTACAAACTCACTCGTTTACACGTTGCCCCTTTCTTGGTTGCCAATGGCTGCAAAGTACAACGTGAAAGCGCAAGGCTGACGCTCCGTAGCGGATTCACACATCCAAGAGCGAGGCATTTCAGTTGAAGAGACGGGAGTTGCGCGAAAGCATGCTCCTAGAATCTGTTTGAGTCATATATGGCCGTCAAAACGAAAGTGCACGGGTTCACGCAGTAGGATAGCCTATGTGTGAATCTGGCGATTGATCGTGCATCCACTGTTTCACGCATGAAAAAAAAAAAAACGTTTTAACAAAACTTTCAGAGAACTTAGTACGTTCTGATGAAAGGGTAGCCTATGTATAGGCCATGGCTAGATATACGTTTGAGAATACATCGCTTGTTTTACCGCAGAACATTTATTTGCGTGGTGCCCCCCTGGCACTGGACCTGCACTGTCGTCAATATGATCACAATGTGATTCAGGGGATTCTGGTGGGGAGAAGTCCTCCACTTCCAGACAGCTCTCAGAACCACTGTAACTGCTGCACTCTGTATCACTATTCATTTCACCTGAGTGTCTGTGTCTGTGTGTGTGTGTGTGTGTGTTTGCACTGCCGGTATGCAAATTAGCTGTATTTATGCGCTCAGTGAAACCCTTCCCTCTTTCCAGACTCTACCCTCCCAGCTTTTCACAGTTGACCACGCCCCTTTTTGGAACCCTTTTCAAATCGGAGGTGTGAAAAAACACTGCTGCAGCAGGGGGGATTTATGACACTTTAAGTTGCGAGTGTGCTCGTTATACCACAGTGTCAGACTGTTTTCCTTAATCTTCTTTAAGCATTAAGGGGCAACCATATCTAAAGTGCTAGAAAAGAGAGAGTCGGTAGTTTATGTTACACCATCAAGTTTTTCTGAGATATTGGATATGCTGAGGAATTGAGACAATTCAAGAAAATTATTTACAAAGCAGTCAAAAGACTGGTAGTAGAAGTGATGGTTGAAGTTGAATTTGCATCTTTAGCTATATGGAGTGTACACACAACTACATAATAATCCAAGATATCATGACTCTGCTGCAGAATTTAAACGCCATTAAGGCAAGGCTTGTTTATTTAGATAGCACATTTCATACACAATCGTAATTCAAAGTGCTTTACATAACAGGAAGTAAAATAATCATAAAAATAATCACAATAAAACAAGGAATTTAAAATCTTTTAAAATGATTTTAAAATTAATTTAAAACAGTTTAAGATAGAAAATGATTATACATTAAATACAGTGCAATCAGTTCGGACGTAGCACAGTGCTCATTCAATAAATGCACAGCTAAACAGATGAGTTTTGAGTCTGGATTTAAATGTGGCTAATGTTTTAGCACATCTGATCTCTTCTGGAAGCTGATTCCAACTGCGGGCAGCATAATAGCTAAAAGCAGACTCCCCTTGTTTTGTGTGAACCCTTGGTATTTCTAACTGACTTGATCCTAATGATCTGAGTGGTCTGTTAGGTTTATATTCAGTGAGCATATCTGCAATGTATTTAGGTCCTAGGCCATTGAGTGATTTATAAACGAGTAAAGGTACTTTAAAATCAATCCTAAATGTAACTGGAAGCCAGTGTAAGGACCTGAGGACTGGTGTGATATGCTCAGATTTTCTGGTTCTTGTCAGAATCCTGGCAACAGCGTTCTCTATGAGCTGCAGCTGTCTAATAGTCTTCTTTGGAAGGCCGGTGAGGAGACCATTACAATAGTCCACCCTGCTGGTGATAAAGGCATGAACAAGTTTCTCCAAGTCTTGACTGGAAACAAAACATCTAATTCTTGCAATGTTTTTGAGATGATAATATGCTGATTTAGTTACTGCTTTACATGACTACTGAAACTAAGGTCTGTCTCCGTAATGGACATCCACTTTGACTTATGCTCTCCAATACTCACATAATAACCTCTCCTTTCTAAGTATGACCTGAACCATTTGAGTACCATCCCAGAAAGCCAGACCCAGTTTTCCGGTCACAGAAGTGATGATCAGATAGTGCTACATCCTTAATAACAATGGGTGAAATGTTTAGATCTCTACAGATGAGTAAATCTAGAGTGTGTCCACGATTGTGTGGGTCCATGCACATGCTGAATCAGGTCAAAAGTGTTTAAAACGGTTATAATTTATTTTGTAGTTTTGATTTCTGCATTATCTTTGTGAATATTAAAATCCCCTGCAATAGCAAAACAGTCAAACTCTGAGGAAATCATAGATAACAGTTCTGTGAACTCTTCAACAAAGGCTGGATAGTTTTTTGGAGGCCTGTAAATAATGATAAACAGAATGCGTGGAGCACTTTTAGCACAATACCTAGATATTCAAAAGACGAGAAC